GACCAAGAAGGTAAAGAAACCAGGAGCTGAGTTTATGTGTGTGTGTGTGTGTGTGTGTGTGTGTGTGTGTGTGTGTGTGTGTGTGTGTGTGTGTTTGTTCAGGAGTCTGACGGCTTGGGGGAAGAACTGTTCTGCAGTTTTGCAGCGAGGCCTGGATGCTCCGATACCTCTTTCTTGTTGGCAGCAGGGTGGAGAGTGTGTGTGTTCTGTTCATCTGAACGTAGCATTTTGTGGGAGAAACGTTTCGTCACTTATCCAAGTGACTTCTTCAGTCTCAGCTGACTGCAAGTCAGGAGTCAAGGAGGCCATTTACATAAAAAGGGAAAGAGAATCTCTGAATTGAGGAGGGGGCCTAAGGGTACATCTGTCACCATCTTACAATGCTGTGATTGCAGCCATTCCCCAAATCTCTGTGAATGGTACTCATGTTCATTCACTGGTGCTGGTTTCAGTCATTATGCAAATGTACTGTTTATAAGATTGAAACCTGCAGTCAGCTGAGACTGAAAAAGTCACCTGGATGAGTGACGAAACGTTTCTCCCACAAAACGCTACGTCCAGATGAACAGAATCAACTTTTGGAGACATTGATGGATGTATTAGGAGAAACTCTGGGTTCAGGATCTTCCCCAAAGATAGTCAATCTGCCCAAGACCACAACCGCCAGTTATTTAAAACCGCCATTGTAAATGGCTCACGACTTCATGTCAGCCAGTCTGCTGTTGCTACTAACAAGTCTGAGCACCAGGAAGCGACAGAACACTGAACACCGCTGTAATACGTTTTACCACCAGAGGGCGCAGGAGATACATCGGCTTTCTCCGTTTGACAGTCGCTCATGTCCGTCGCGGCATTTTCCCTCCTCGGGTATCTTCGGCGGTACTCGGTTGCTAACGGTCGGTATGTTCAAATGTTCGGCTGCAGCTCCTCCTGAGTCTCAAGTGAAGAAAGAGCGGAGAGAAAAGAGACCCCCGGACCGGACAGAAGGAGTCTCAGAGCGGGATGACGGTGCTGCAGGAACCTGTCCAGGTATGAAAACACATCTTTGGCTCGTTGTCATGCGTGGGGAGCGGAGCATGTATGAAGTTTGTGCCTGTCTCTGCGCCCGGCCTTAGCGGCGGGTGCAATCCGTGGTGAGAGCGCTGTTCCTCGGCCGCAGGCCCTACAGAGGCCCGCTGACGGCACAGAGAGTTTTCTGCGATTATTGGTGGTCGTTAGTACCTTCTGTCACGGCCCGTTCGGGTCACGCAGAGCTGTTAATTTACACCCGGTACAGCTGAGATATGTCATGCCAGACACCTTTTAAAGATTTGTCAGATTAAGATTCCAGGTATTTCCGATCTAATTAAAGGGGAAATTGGTCAGTTTATTTGATATTTCATGATTCGTTTTGTTCCGCACATCTTTTGGGCTCAGATCCAAAAAAGGAACACTGTCTAATTTTAAAATAAATCCGGAATCCGAGCAGGTCCATCTGAAGAGGCCTGAGTCCGGCTGAGGGGAAATGACCCGCGGAGAGCGAACAGACACTCTTTAAAGTCAGTATTTCACCGGAACCAACTGTGGGTGGATCACTGACTGTGAGCAGTATTTGTCATAGAACAGGACCCGATGTTCTTAAGTATATCACGGAGTTTAAGATGTGTGCAGGTGAGAGTGCCGAGAGAAACTGTTGGATTTCATATGGAGTTCTGTGTTAGCATGACTCGGTTAGCAGCTAACGCAGTTGCTAGCACTCAATGGAGCTTCAGTGAGGAGGAACTCTGCTTTAAAGTTCATAAAACGATCAAATCCGTTCCTTGGGGGTCTGTTAATGTCAGAGTCTGATCGCAGATCAGAGAACAGATGAAGGTATCCCGCGGCCGTTAGACTCTCACAGCTAACACAGGCTAATGGCAGCTAACTGCCCGGTAACATGAACCACCGTTAGCTGTTAGCCGTTAGCTGCCATGTCAGCCGCGGACTGATGGGTAATGTCTCCTCACAGGTGTGTTTGTGATCTCACTCGGGTAAACTGTGACTGCAGAGTTAAAGTGAAGTGACGTCAGTAACGGAACTGCTGCAGTGATCGATCAGCGTATTGATCAATAACTTTCCTGAGTTTGACCCATCGATAACAGTGGCATAAACACGTCCTGTCTCACATGATGCTCTCAAGTGTGCGTTTGGAGTGCTGACCAATGGCAGCACACAGAGTGTTGATCTAACTACGGTATTGGCTATTGATTATGTATGGCTCGCTGTGAGCAGGTACAGGTGACACAGCCTTTATTTTAACCTGGAGTCAAAAACTGTTTACAGTCAGGTAAACCTGTACTACTGGTAGTCGTTCAGCTTTCTAATGAACAATACCAGCGTTTGATCAATAACTTTGTGTTTACTGTTGAAATGCACTGATTATAGCTGAGTGTGGGAGGAGATCTGTTTCTCACAGCAAACTGAGCCAGGGAGCCAGTTCTGGCTAAATAATGCAGATTTAATGCAAAATCAATCTGAGAAGCTGCACAGATACACCAACGTGTGTGTGGAAACAGTAGGCTTACAGAAGCTCGTCTGTGTCTCCACATGTGGAGGTGATGTGAGACACATCTATGCAGCTGTGTGTCTGGTAACGAGGTCCGGTGACTGAAGTTGGATGTTTTCTGCTCTGCTTGCTGTCGTTGCATTGTTACAGTGAAGTGGGCAAATACATTTATGATGTCACTGCGTGCCGTTGTGTCGTAAGTGGTGAGAACACTGCTGTCTCTATGGAAATGAGCGGCTTTGCTTCTTTTTCCAACTTCAAACGGCCCAAATCTCCACACTCTAACTCCTCCCACCTCCTTTTCAGTGGCGTCCTCATCTTCAGAGTCTTGGCTTGTCTTGACTTTTCATTGATGTTTTCTGACATCATTTCCTTTTTCTCAATCAGGCTCCTACTGTTAGGACAGGTGTGGTCCTTCCACGCTCTGTGGCTCAGCCTATCCTGACCTGTCTTTGGTAGGGTGGGCAGTTGGAGGGTCATGCCTATTGGAGCCCTTAAGCTCTGGATTCTGAACTCTGATCTTCCTCCTCACCTTAAGCCTCACTCCTGGACTGTAGTTGGGGCTCTAACATAAGAAATCCTACAGGAATGTATTTAATCTCAACATTGTCGCATTGAGTTACGGTCGGCAGATCAGACATGCGAGCGTTTGAGACATGGCTGAACAACAGCATGATGTCTGTTGGGTCTGCGCTTCGCAGGCCCCGCTGGTTTAGAAACCCATTTCTGTGAACAAAGCAAGACAGACTCGAGCTCATGCCAGATAACATTAGACTGTAGTGTCTTTAAACTAATTTCCCTCTGATCAACAGTTTGATTACGTTCTCACATCACGAGAGTTTATTTTCCTAAGTGCCACTGAGATAGATCCACTTTTTAAAAGAAGTCTCATATATGGCCGTGAGGAGAAGAGAAACTTACAGCAGCGCTGTACTCGGCAGTTCACCTCAGTGTCGCTGTCATCAATCACAACTGAGCTACGTTGACTCAGGTCTGGGATCATCACTGATTTCGACAACTGATTCAAAGGTCCCGACTCAGATTCGGTTTGGGACTCAGTCACAAATGTCATGATGATGATGATGATCATATTTCTTGGATGCGCAGTCATTAAGATGGGCGGAGCAACGTAATCATGCACGGACTGATGTGAAGACCAAACATGGACAAACTAATTTCCCAAAAAATTAGGTCTGTCAGTGTTAACACGTTAATCCGGTGTTGACGCGACTAAAATTTGTAACGCTCTCAACCCATCTGAAGCGCAGAATGAACAAACTTTGGACAAACTGCCTGGAATACGTTGACAGAGACATTTCAGGGATTGTAGCTCAGTCCGGTCCTGATAGGTTAGTTGTTAATCGTCTTTGTCATAATGTCGCTTATTTGGGATGAAAGACGTAAACCTAAGGATGTAACCAAAGCGGTGTGCTGCTTATGCAGACGTATAGTGCAAGCTAGAGCAGGGCGATATGGCCAAAAATATTTATCACGATATATATTTGAAAATTTGCGATAA